AGGTTTCATGGATTTTCCCACATTCTTTGGCTATTAATTTAATTTCCCAGGTTACACAGATAGTCTTTGATAATTGAAACAACTGCTGAGTTGAAATAACCTTGAGTTGAGCAAAAAACACTTATTTGGCAGAAGCTGGGCTTGGTAGTACAGTAAAATTTTAGTGTAATGTGCTCTTGTGATAACTAAAAAGGGAAAGATAATCCAAATGTTTCTACAAAGGAAAGTAGGTGTGTACTGTACTTTGGCTGTCAACAGTTTAAAAAAAAAAGAATATGAGAGCAAAAAGAATTAACCTAAATGTTTTAAGTCTCCTTGAAAATGTAGTAATAAAGTATATGAAGCTCTTTTTTTCATTTTGCTCTGTGACTGGTTTAAAGGTAAGTTTGTTATGATGTTGGTAGATTTTGCCAGGCTTCTCCCAACAGAGTAGAAGTGATTTGGCCTTGTAACTTAATGGTGGTTACCAGGTACTTTCTTCTCTACATTCCAGTTTTGATAAGAATGGTACTGGAATTTGTCTGTCTGAAGACCAATCTTGGTGTAACTCCTGTCTATATCAGTTAAAATGTAGAAGAGGCAGGAGTTTGGATGGTTGGATGGGATTTCATTAGGGTTTTACAGCCAGTAAAGATGTCGCTTCCCATGCATGTCTCAATTATCCCTAATCCTCTTTTACTCTGTTGGGATGAGTCTTTTTTTGTTTCTGTTCAGAGTGGTTGCTAATTTCATCTTCTCTCCTCTTGCTGTCATCTGCATTCGTGCTTCCCACCTGTTGTTGGCATGTCCTTTACCTTCTCTTTCCCTGCCACGTGAAACTTCACACTGAATCGTCAACAACTTGGAAGATGTGGAAGATGTCAAGTTTGTGATCAACTATGACTATCCAAACAGTTCAGAGGATTATGTGCACCGCATTGGCCGAACAGCCCGTAGCACCAACAAGGGCACCGCCTATACCTTCTTCACCCCAGGGAACCTCAAGCAGGCTAGAGAGCTGATCAAAGTGCTGGAGGAAGCTAATCAGGCTATCAATCCCAAATTAATGCAGCTGGTAGACCACAGAGGAGGCGGCGGAGGAGGGGGTAAGGGTAAGTCCTGGAGTTTTCCAGGTACTGCCGAGGTATCTTTATATTTATTGTGCCTTTAAGAAAAAAAATCCTATGAAGTCTTTAATTATAAGAAAATGTGACTTGTGCTACTTTTACAACATAATGATTTCTATATATTCCAAAAATGTGCTTTGAACTTTTAAGTACATGGTGCATATTCAAAATTAAGGTAAAGTGTGATTGCTTTTTAGTACCTTAAAATGTGCTTAGCAGTATATTGAATTTTAGTTTTACGTTTGGAGAGATCACTAATTTACTAATTTGGAGGTTGGCCTGGCTTAAAGGTCAAGGAATCACGTTGAAAATTCCTTATATTCTCCCATCAGGAGGTCGTTCTCGGTACCGGACCACTTCTTCAGCCAACAATCCTAATCTGATGTATCAAGATGAGTGTGACCGGAGGCTTCGAGGAGTTAAGGATGGTGGCCGGAGAGACTCCACAAGCTATCGGGATCGTGGTGAAACCGATAGAGCTGGTTATGCTAATGGCAGTGGCTATGGAAGTCCAAATTCCGCCTTTGGAGCACAAGCAGGCCAATACACCTATGGTCAAGGCACCTATGGGGCAGCTGCTTATGGCACCAGTGGCTATACAGCCCAAGAATATGGTGCTGGCACTTACGGAGCTAGTAGCACCACCTCAACTGGGAGAAGTTCACAGAGCTCTAGCCAGCAGTTTAGTGCGATAGGCCGGTCTGGGCAGCAGCCACAGCCACTAATGTCACAACAGTTTGCACAGCCTCCAGGAGCTACCAATATGATAGGTTACATGGGGCAGACTGCCTACCAATACCCTCCTCCCCCACCTCCCCCTCCTCCTTCACGTAAGTGAAACCACTCAAGTGGTAGTGACTCCTGCAGACTTAATTACATTTTAAGGAACACTGTCTTTACCCTTTTTCCCCTTCTTCCCCTTTTCTTTCTTTTTCTTTTTTATTTTATTTCCCCAACCATTGTGATTTGTCTTTTCACGCAGATTAGTTAGAATTCACTGCCAGGTTTCTTCTGCCCGCCAAAATGATCCAGTCTGTAATAACAGATTTTGTAAAAATATATATATATATCTGACTGGAAGAGATTAATTTCTTCCCCCAACTTCTTGCATGTTGAGGATATTTGAGCTATTTTTCATCTTAAAAGAAAGAATAAGGTATTAGGCCCTTTTCTGAGAGCCCAGTTTTTGTTGTCCTGAGTTATGGGATGGGGGGAGGGCTGAAGTTTTCTGCAGCAGAAGATGGCATCTGTGCTTTAAATGATTCTCCTTACTGGGTTAGAAAACCAGGAGCGATATCCCTGCACGTTTTCCATAATGCTTTCTGATGTTTGTAAAGTTGGAACAGGGTTCCTCAGGCCCAGTGAGTTTTTAAGATAGTTGTTTGCCATTATTATTTTGGCTGATGGCTTGCTAAATGGATTTGACACTTAAAACTTATTCATTGGTTTTTATCTCCCTTACACTCTGCCTTCCCCCTTCTCCCCTCTGTTTACTGAGAAATAACCATTTTAATGTCAGGTTAGAAATGAATTGCTGAGTGTCAATGTATCTTTCGAATTAAAAACCACAAGGGTTTATTGCAGTGGTTAAACTGTAGCATCTCAGCATCCTGGCGGGAAACTGCCTTTTTCTTTCTGATATAACCAGGGACCATCTGAAATTCATTTTCCAGCCAGACAGCTGCTGTAAGCAAATGAACATAAGTGCTCACTGGAAATTTACTTTATTAACCAGTTAAGTCTATGCATTCACCTATAGTGTAAAAAGCACCTTTAATTATAAACAGAATATACTCAAAATGGGCTAATTTTCTTTTTTTAAACTCAGTATGTGTAGAGCTAGAATAAAAGCAATTCTGCCAGCTACTCTGCCTTTTGGCAGTTACCTTGAACAAAGAATCTTAAGAGTTGTTATGAACTCTTACTCTCTTCATACCCTGTTCTCTGCAGTGCTTTTTAACAACTTCTGGGTGCAAATCGTTCGGCATCCTTTGCACTCAGCTTTTTACAGGTAGGTGTAGTGCTTTACACTAGTTACGGAGGACTAAAGCTTAAGTCATTGTTACTTTTCCTCCATCTAAAGGTAGGTGAGTTTGTCCTCTTCATAGTAATGCTGTTTTATGGAGACTTTGTATAGGAGATGGGTTCTGTTCTTGTGTTCACCATAACGGATAGAGAGAGCAGACAGCCCCAGGAACCTCTTCAAATTCAACATGGAACTATTCATTTTTATGCTGTTCATTGATACTGTTCATTCACAATGCAGTTAAAAGGAGTGACACCACTGCATTCTTTGGCTAAGACCTAGAGTGATTGCTGGTTTGTAAGATCTAAATACTTGAGGTTTGTTTTTGTTTTCCTTTTAAAATTCTTTAGGGAGAGAGAAGGGATGGTTTCTGAGGGGTTCTTGAAAGTACGATACATTGTGCAACATACAGGTAGGTTGTCAGCATAAGCTGAAATATGTGCATGTAAAAACTTAGACATCCTTTTTTATTTTCTACTTTCTTCCTTATCTTTTTGTCCTGCCCCGCCCCCCCCCCCCCATCTTCTAGAAGTTGAGGCCGAGGGAGGATGGTAGGCACAGAAGAAACAGCTGCTCTGTGCTTTTCAAACCAAAGTGCCCCACCCCCACCCCAGTTTGTCTAATCACCGACCAATCTGTTTTGGGCGTTTCTTTCTACAACCAAATTCTGATATTTTTTCCTTTAAACGTAGAGATTCCACCACAGGGATGTCTTAATTAAAAAAATTCTTCTAGCTCTTTTTAAAAAGCATCTGCTTGAGGGAAAGGTCTCTGGGCAAGCAAGTAGTTATTTGGATTGCTTGCTTGCTTTTTTTCCACAGGGACATTGCAATCATAAAGTAATAGTAAATTCCACATCTCAAAAGTTACTGTGGCCTGAGCACAGCTGAAGTCTAGCGGAATTTAACTCTTCTGCCTCCGTGTCTGTCAGTCATTCAGATTCTGTTGTTGGCTTACGTGAGCAGAAGAATCATCATGCTAGTTACTTACTGCAGTCATGGTTGCAACTCAACTTAGGGAAAGGGCTTCAGTGTATTAAGCTATAGGCTGCTTCATCCCAGTCCCTCCCTAACAATTCATTGTGTGGACTTCTCTCATCTAAAGGTTGGTGGCTTTTGCTTGGGATCAGTGCTCTCTATTCATGTCCTTGCTGGTCTCTGAACACATTCCTGTTGCATTAAGACTTGAAAGATTTGTAGATGTGTGATGTTCAGGCACAGGATGCTAAGAGCTATGTTACTATTCTTAGTTTGTAAATTGTCCTTTTGATACCATCTTGTTTTCTTTTTGTAGGTATAAATAAAACCTGTTGACAATAATGTGTGAGCTTTAATTGCTTAAAAATTCTGTGAATAGTTAAATGTTACCCTCTTGAAATAGTTTTTCTTGGCTTCAAAACTAGGGTTTCGGGCATTGGATTGACTAATCATTTTATCACCTAAAACTGAAAGGAAGGTGGGATGGGTTGGTCTTAATGCAAGAATTGAAGGCTGGATACCTAGTAGGTATCTTATTTGCTCAGCACAGATCAGGTGATGTGGTGATAGGCAAATCGTACCCACCTAGGATGGTGCAGGACTAGTATGAGCCACAAAACTGACTCCCGCCAGAGCTGGTATATTTAGTTTGTGTGGCGTATAGGGTGAAAGTAAAATAACATTTCACATAACCTATCACTTTTTTATCTTGACTACCTAAATTTGGTCACCTACCTGGTAAGTAGAAATTGCCACAAGAACATATTACTGATATTTTAACTGATCTTCAGTTGGGGCATTCTTACAGGGACATCTTTCCAGTTGGAAGTGACAATTAGCACGAGTCATGCACTTGGGTCTTAGAGAATAATAGTTTATTTGATCCATTCATGAGAAGTCACCTTAAGACTGCTTGTTCCAGTTGCACGGTGGGCCCAGCTCTTAATTATCTCTATAATGGGTATTTAAGGGAGATCCTATTGACAAGAAGATCTTACAGAGAAAACGATCAGTGCTTTGTTGAAATCCACACTAAGCATTTTTTCTAGCTTTAACGTTTGATTCAAGTCATGGATAAGTTGCCAAGGAGAACTTTGAAAATAGTTTGCAATTCATGTCCTTGACTATAGAGATCTCCAGGAACCCTCAAATTGGCATTGGAAGACTTAACTTCTTTCCTTTAAGGACTGGGAAGAAAATGGAAAATGAAGTTAGATTTACTGTACAGATGAAAACTTTTTTTTTTAATTGAGACATACTTTCCTCCTGGGTAGAGTGCCATGACTATTCACAGCAACCTCACACTCTTGAGTTTGAATAATCCTCTTGCCTCAGCCGCCCAAGTAGCTGGGACTACAGGTGTCTGCCACAAGGCCCAGCTAGTTCTGTTTTTAGTAGAGGTCATGCCCTTCAGGCTGGTCTCCAACTCCTGAACTGAAGCAATCCACCCGCCTTGGCCTCCCAGAGTGCCACCATGTGCATAGTCTTAGTATCTCTTAATGCCTGGTTCACAGTAATCTTGAGTATCTTGGTACATGATCTTAGTCCTTTTTTTTTTTTTTTTGAAACAGTGTGATGCCTTTGATAGAGTGCTATAGCATCACAGCTCACAGCAACCTCCTGGGCTTAAGCAATTCTCTTGCTTCACCCTCCCAAGTAGCTGGGACTATAGGCACCGGCCACAACACCTGGGTTTTTTTTGTTGTTGTTGCCGTTTTTGGCTGGGGGCTGGGTTTGAACCCACCTCCTACAGTATATGGGGCTGCCTCCCTACTCCTTTGAACCACAGGTGCCACCCCCCTCAGCTATTTTTTATAGTAGTTGAGCTGCATTGGATCCCAGCAGCCTGGATATATGAGGCGGACACCATAACCACTGTGCTACAGGAGCCAAGCCCTTAGTGTCTCTTAATGCCTGGTATTCATATATTAAAGCCAAGGGGAAACTTAAGGTGGACTTAAGTTGGACTGTGGACCATTGACCCTGGTCTTGGGTGCTGGCACCCCTTCCTCCTTAAGCTGCTAATTTAGCAATTGGGCTTGATTCTCATGCTTGCTTCACATCATACCCATTGGCAGTCCCTTTTTACTCCCCAAAACTCGCCACATCTCTCTTCACTGAAGGCCTTTTTCCTGGATAATTGTGACTGCTCCATAAGTAGTCATGGTACTTAGTTGCTTTTTGCCCTACACAGCAGGTAGTGTATTGGTTTTTTAAAGGACCATCCAATAGCTGCTCTTGCCAGTCAGAACACAGTGCAGACTGCACTGTGAGGCCCTATGTAAACTACTAGTCTTGGTTGACTTGATGTCTATAGCTTTATGGATTTTGCCCACATCAGCCTTATCCATGACAAGCTGGTTCTTGGGAGTTGTACATACGTACGGTCTGAAATGTTTTTCCATCTGTGTTTTTTCTCCCTGCCCCTTCCCCTTTTTGACATGATCTACACTTTATTGCCCAGACTAAAGTGTAGTCATAGCTTGCTATAGGCTCAAACTCTGCATCAGCTTCCCAAGTAGGTAGAGCTATAGGAGTGCACCACCAGACCTGGCTGAGTTTTCATTTTTTTATAGAGCTGGGGTCTGGCTCTTGCCCTTGCTCATGCTGGTCTTGAACTCCTGAACTCCAGCAATCCTCTCACTTCTGCCTCCCAAAGTATTAGGATTACAGGCATGAGCCACCATGCCTAGCCCCCTATATTTTCTTAACCAAGTATTTTTCTTTTTTCTTTTAAGCAAGACATTCTTCTTTTTTGAGACAGAGCCTCAAGCTGTCCCCCTGGTTAGAGTGCTGTGACATCACAGCTCACAGCAACCTCAAACCCCTGGGCTCAAGCAAGTCTGCCTCCGCCTCCCAAGTAGCTGGGACCACAGGCGCCCACCACAACACCTGGCTATTTTTTTGGTTGCAGCCATCATCGTTTGGCCAGCACAGACTGGATTTGAACCTGCCACCTCAGGTGTATGTGGCTGGCGCCTTAGCCACTTGAGCCACAGGCGCCGAGCCTTAAGAATTCTGTCAAATGTGCATAGCTGTCTTGCCTGTATATAGTGTGTGCATAACCGTATTGGCTTGCATTTTGTCATGCCACTAAGTGTTTCTTAAAAATAGTTGTCTTCTGGGTGGCACCTGTGGCTCAAGGAGTAGGGTGCTGGGCCCATATACCAGAGGTGGCGGGTTCAAACCCAGCCCCGGCCAAAAACTGCAAAAAAAATTAAAAATATATATATGTGTGTGTGTATGTGTATATAATTTTTAAAAAAAAAGTTGTCTTCACCGATTAGAATGGCGATCCTCAACCTGTGGGTCACAACCCCTTTGGACTATATTAAAGGTTCGAGGCATAAGGAAGGTTGAGAACCACTGCATTCACAGAGATTTGGCTCTGTGTATCTCTGTAGCCCTGCAAATATTTACCGACTGGATGAGTAGCTCCTTGGGCCAGCATCATTGCTCTGTTACCAGGACTTACCTTTGGTCACATACAAGTAGAAGAAGTCACAGTAGAAGATGGTCTGTACTACTCCAGACACCACTGCAATTTGGTCATAGAAATTCTCAGTCTGGTACCGCCTGATCCAGTTAGCCAGATAGAGAGCCCGGTACAGACCCAGGAAGAACAGATAGTGAGTCGTAATGGTCTCGGCCTCTCCAGTTTTGCTGATCATGAAGAGCTGGGGTAGGATGGCTACTGACTCCAGGTAGATGGAGAAAGTCCAGAGGATCTGAGCCAAAGAGAAGAGTGGCCAGAGAAAGCTGAGTATGGCCCAGTAGGCAGATCTCTTTAAAAAGAAAGTAATAAAGCAGTAGTTTGGCTCGGCACCTATAGCTCAGTGGCTAGAGCATCAGCCACATGCACCAGAGCTGATAGGTTCAAATCCAGCCCTGGCTGGCCAAACGACAACTGCAACTAAAAAATAAGTGGGTGTTGTGGTGGGTGCCTGTAGTCTCAGCTACTTGGTTGGCTGAGGCAAGAGAATCACTTAAGTTGAAGAGTTTGATGTTGCTGTGAGCTATGACACCACAGCACTCTACCCAGGGCTACAGCTTAATACTCTGTCTCAAAAAATAGCAATAGTTTACCAAAGAAAATACAGTTTGTGTGGGGAGGCACCTGTGGCTCAGTGAGTAGGGTGCCGGCCCCACATACTGAGGGTGGCAGGTTTGAACCCGGTCCCAGCCAAACTGCAACCAAAAAATAGCCAGGCATTGTGGCGGGTGCCTGTAGTCCCAGCTACTTGGGAGGCTGAGGCAAGAGAATCGCCTAAGCTCAAGAGGTAGAGGTTGCTGTGAGCTGTGATGCCACAGCAACAAGGGCTGGACAAAGTGAGACTGTAAAAAAGAAAAAAAATACAGTTTGTGGACAGAAAGTCACATTCTCAATGTAAGAATTGAATATTTTAATAATATATGCTATCTCTAAATATAATTTAAAACATTTTTGAAAACAGTACATCTTGCTTTTTTCACAACATAGCATGAACATTAGAAAACTTTTAAATGTTGCAGTTTTACTGGATGAAATAACATAACTGAACCCACAGTTTTCTTAAAATACAGTCCATAAATACCAACATCAGAATCTCCCAAGATGCCTTTTGCCCACAGGTTCATGGGTCACAGCCCAGGCCTACTGGCCTGTCCTCTGCTAATCTGCTGGACCTAAGGTCTCAACAGCCAGAAGTGGGACTGGGATGCCTGAAAATTGAGCATTATGAATAGCTTGTTGCCAATTTCTTCTAAACACAGAACTAAGTGAACAATACACAAACAGTAGTCATAGTCACAGCAGAAGGGAAGCCCAGACGTCAGGAAGGGTCTGGAAGGAAGGACACAGAGGAGCACGCTTACCTCTGGGAGCTAGCACTCAATCCCTTCCCTTACCTCCAGGGGAGTGAAACTGTAGTTCTCAAGGAAGGAAAGGCCAACGACTGGGACCAGAAGAAACTCCAAGCGGAATGTATCATTCTCACTGTCAAAAGTTTTCCGAAATTTCCCGTAGATCATGTACACTGTGACATAGGCACAGAGGAGAAAAACCACCTGTGTGCAGTGGGAGGGAAGAGACAAGGGGATCTATGAGGTCATTTCCCTGCCTATTTGCTAGGCTTCAAAACCTACCACACCTAAGGGCCAGTGCTCTGCCATAACGTTACATGAAGAGGTAAAATGTATTTGCAATTTCTCTTGGGTCCAGCTGCCTAGAATCTAAAGTTAATGAGCCTTTATTAAGTTACTCCATGCTTCTAACCATGACAGTGCCATAGAGTCAGATGCTCTGCTTGTCCCCTCTGTCTATGGAGCATTAGGCCAATAAACAAGATTGGTCTTTTTCAGGGGATTTAGCAGTGGTATTCCAGGGCTCTTGAAAACAGTTTAAAACTTCAAATGGACTATGCATCAATGACTTATAAACGTTCTTCCACAGGACTACTAACATCCTTCTTCGTTTAAAAATGTTGACCTGGGCGGCGCCTGTGGCTCAAAGGAGTAGGGCACTGGCCCCATATGCTGAAGGTGGCGGGTTCAAACCCAGCCCAGGCCAAAAAAAAAAAATGTTGATGTGGCTGGCCTTGCCGTCCCTTAACCAGTCCTCACTCAGCATGTGTACCAGCAGCAGCTACTGAACGCCTGCCCTCCTGGCCTTAGGTCTGTCCTTTGACTACACTGAGCGCAATCTGTCTGGAGGTCTTTTGCTTGGAATGCCTTCCTCCATCTTCACATAGCTGGTTCCAGCTGTCACTTAGATCTTGGCTTACCTGTCACCTCTTCAAGACTTTCCTGACCACGCATCCTGAAGTAGCTCTCTAGTTGTGCTCCATCATGTAACCCTATTTTTATAATAAAACTCTCTTTTATTGAAGGAAATAATCGACTAAAGTAGGATTTTAGGGAGAGATGAAAGGCTTCAGTGCCAAGGGAAAAAAATAGGGTTTTAATTATTTGAATAGCCATATCCCTAACCAAAGTTTTTCTTGTTTGTTTTATTATTAGAATGTAGGCTCCACAGAGACAGGAGCCTTGTAAATTTTCTTCAGGTGCTGGCAGAGTATAGGCTTAAAAAAAAAAATTGTTGGACAGATGGCCAAATAAGTTCTCCGAAAGCTCAGGACACCTGTTGATATTTTTGCTTATTTTAAAAATCATTATAATAGCTAACCTTTGCTGAATCGTTAACATATGGCAGAGGGTATTTTTTTGCACATTTACATTTATTACCTCATTTAATTTTCCCAGCCAAACCCTCTGAGGTAAGTGCTAGAATGATCTTCATTTTGCCTAGGAGGAAACTGGAGGACAAGGGGCCAGAGGCCTCACCCAAGTCCAGGTCACACAGCCACCAAGCAGCAGAACCGGGATTCAAACCCACAGCCTAAGTGCCCAATAGAAGGCCTCAGTTTGTGGGGGTCTGACAGGCCCTCCACTGTCACCACCTGACCCCTCACCTTCATCACAGTGTTGTAGATGGAGATGAAGTTGGTGAACAGGTCCAGGTACCTAGTGGTGAAGACCAGAGCGAAAAGGATCTGGCTTTTCCCAGAGATGCCTGTGGGAGAGGGGAGTCACAATGAGAACACAGACTCCCAAGCCCCACCCACTCAAAGTGCACCTCCTGGAGCTGGGCAGGCCTCTGAGACACCTCATCCAGGGCATTGTTGCTCCCTAAAGGGCAGGAGTTCATCCTTCCCACCAGATCACCTGAGGAGTCCAGATGCTGCTCATTAGGCTGCAATCTGCCTCCCAGTCTCCAAATAAAGACACCAACACCGAACACTGGGTTCCCAGCCCGCTGCAAGTGCCTGCCAGGTTCCAGCTCCAGGAAGATACCAGGGGTGGTGTGAGTTGGCTCCGTGGGGGGATTTTGGCTTCTCTTCACTCCACCCCCAGAGTTCTACCGACACTCCCCAAAGCTCCATCTTTGGAAGAACAATTCACTGACTCTACAAAGCATTGATTCACCAGGGAGACAGAAGCAGGCAGAGGGAGGCTGGGGCCAAGGCAGCATTCTATTTTATCTTCCAAAATATAAGCATTAAAAATCTTTTTTTCTGGCTCGGCACCCATACCTCAGTGGTTAGGGCGCTGGCTACATACACCAGGCTGGTGAGTTCGAATCTGGCCCGGGCCAGCTAAACGACAATGACAACTGCAACAAAAAATAGCCAGGTGTTGTGGCGGGCGCCTGTAGTCCCAGCTACTTGGAAGGCTGAAGCAAGAGAATCGCTAAAGTCCAAGAGTTTGAGGTTGCTGTGAGCTGTGACGCCATGGCACTCTACTGAGGGTGACATAATCAGACTCTGTCTCAAAACCTTTTTTCTAGTTTTAGAAGTTATGCCTGTATTTACTCTTTGTAATACAAAAATCAGGCAGTTTTTTTTTTTTTTTAAGAGACAGAATCTCACTTTATTGCCCTCGGTAGAATGCTGTGGTGTCACAGCTCACAATAACCTTCAACTCCTAGGCTTACGCGATTCTCTTGCCTCAGCCTCCCCAGTAGCTGGATCTACAGGCGCCCACCATAACGCCTGGCTATTTTTTGTTGCAGTTTGGCTGGGGGCAGGTTCAGACCTGCCACTCTTCGTATATGGGGCTGACATTCTACCCACTGAGCCACAGGCGCCACTCCAAATCAGGCAATATTTAAAGATACAAAGAAGAAAACCATCCCTGGGTCTGTCCTTCTAGATCTTTGCCTTACTACCATATTTAACGATGGTACTTTATTAAAATGAAGAAACTAACACTAGTATGGCACTGTTGATGGAACTACAGACTTTGTTCTGCTTTTACAGTTTTCCCGCTGCTGATCTTTTCACACTGTATTTTGTTGTCATGCTCCTTAGTGTCCTTTGGCCACTTCTGATACGTTATGGAGGGGAGATACAGTGATGCCTCGCCTTCCTCTTTCCCGGTTACCCCCACCCTAGTCTGGACACTCTCATCAATGACACCCCCCATGTTTCTGCATCTGAAAGTCAACTGTCCAACTTCTCCAATCTCTGCACTACCCACTTGCTTCCCTGGCCTGTGGGACCACCCACACTGCTGCCTGAAGTCCTGTCCTCTACGAATAACCCTCAGGCTGTCCCTCTTCTTCCTCTTTCCTGTTAGTACCTTAGACATTCCTGTGGCTGTGATCACATGCCCGGGCCTTCCAGCTCTGGGTTGTATCCCAGGGTCCCCTACCCCAGAGGCCAAGTACAGCACCTGGCAGAGAGCCTGTTGGATAACAGCGCCCCCTCCTGGTCATGGATGCTCACCCTGCCCAGGGCACCCTGTGGAAGAAGTGCAGGGACAGGTCCAGGCTGATTCTTCTGTCCCATCACACCCCAATATTCCTGACCCACTTCCTCGGAGGGGAACCTGAAGGGTATGAGTTCCTGTCCCTCTGGAGAACCCAAACGCCTGCCCTCCGGGTCTAGAACCAGCCCCTATGCATTTCCCCTCAGCCCTGCTGAGCCCTCTAGGCTGAAGCCTCCCGGATCCCAAGCCCATTTGCTTTGCCTCCTCTTCTCTCGCAGCTCCCAAAGTGACCTGCCTCAGGTACTTCTCCCAGACCCTCCCCTGCTTCCAACCTTCTGCTCCTCAGTCCCAACTCCCTGGCTTGACAAAAAGGCCTTTTAATATCCCACGTACAGACTGCCCTCCCTCCTGGACTCATTGCCCTCCCAGGCCACCCCCAAATCAGGCTGCTCATCCTTCCTGGGACATGCCCTGCCCTCAGCCACATAAGTGTGGCTGCACCCTGAGAGTGCACACCCTTCCTGAGTCGACTCCCTCCCTGCCCACCCTCCCAGGCCCAGCCCCTAGCTGCTCTCTCCACCCATTCCTTGGGGGCTGTTCTCCGCCTCTTTAGCCCCCACTGGGAGCCTGAGCTCATCATCACTGTAATCTCCCCATCCTAGTGCCAAGCATGGGGTGGACACCTCCGGGACACCAGTGGACAAAGATGGCTGGAGGAAGCTCGGGCAACCTGATTGCACTGTGTCTGTTTGGTGACCACTTGTCCAGCCTTGAAACTTCTAAACTTCTAGCAGAATAGCCAGACTCCTGGGCAAACCAGGAACTCCTGGGGACCTCCCTAAACTCCTGTTCAGTGGCCACTTTACGCCCATCTGAGCCCCTCTGCTGCCCTTCCTGCCACATCACAGCCCCGGTGCCACACGCCTGCAGTGAAGGGAAGAGGGCCCAACCTCTGGGGAAGTCTGGGGGTAACAGGGAAGAGAAGATTCTGAGAATTGGGGGCCACTTCCTGAGTGCAAGGGGGCATGGGGGCCCCTTATCCTCCTCCTCCCCAGTGAGAGTGGAGTGAACAACAGGGGTGACTGGTGGGAGGGAGGGGGTGTAGCTCCTCCTCAGACCCCTCCTTTTCCAAGTAGCCAAAAACAATGCCAACACGGGGCTAGGGGTTATCAGTGGAGGCAGAAATCCACCCACCTCCATAATCTCCAGGGTCTTTTGATACTGTACAACTTTACACTGATTTTAGAAGCTGAGCTATACAAAAAGAGTTTCAAGGACGTGGGAGCTGAAGTCCCCACCCAGAGCAGACTCAGTGGTGGGCCCCGCCTTGAAAGCAGGGGACGTGGGGCTGGCCAGCGAACGGTCCCCCACTTCCCGCCCGGGGCGCCCCTCACCGGTGCAGCACTTGGACCTCCATATCTTCCCCAGGAGCAAGATCATGGCCAGGAGGTGGCTCAGGTCGCCGAGGATTCGGAACACGTTCATGATCCTGTCAGTCGGTGTGGCGCCGACGCCCAGCAAACTTCCAGGAAACTTTCTGGTGGCCGGGGTGGCTACCACGTCCCCGGCCCTGCCCGCGCCTTCGGCCGCCGCGCTCCTCCAGCGCACTCCGGGCCGGGCGGTGACGTGGCCAGGCGGGCCGCGGCGGGGTGGGGAGCCAGGAAGCCGCGCCGCCGGGAGATCCCGCCTCCCGCCATCCAGGCCTTAGCCCGAGGCGGGGCGGCCGGCCGGGCCGGGGGGCTTCCGGCTGCGACCCGCCCAGCCTCCAGGTGCCCGTCTCGTCTCGAGCCGTTGTGTCCCATTGTCCTCTGCCTCAGTTCCCTTATCTGTTAGCGGCCCTGATAACACTGGTGCCAGTGCAAGGCTTGAACTTACCGGATCAGAGCACCCGCTGCTATTGCCATTATCTTGGAGTTTGAACTCCCTCCCTGGGTTGGGTGGGATAGGGAGAAGAGTGGGAATTGGAATCCCTACCCTCTCGCCTGTTAATTTGGATGTCAACACTTGCCCTGATCTGACCTTGCTGGGCGTGGATGACACTCAGGTGTGGAGTCAGACTGACCTTGGTTCCAGCCTAGGTGCTGCAGTCCTTCCCCTTTCTTGGCCTCAGTTTTGTCTGTAAGATGGTGTTATTGTAAGAAAGAGGTCAAGTCTGTCCAGGAGACCCATAGCGTCCCTCTTCTTGTTAAAGAAGATGTTAAACAGGGACACAGGGGCCAGCAGAGACCCCAGAGGGCTGAGGGGCAGGGAGGGAGAAGGGTGCAGGACCTATAGTGGGAGGGAGTCTTCCCACTGCTGAGCTGCCTGAGCCTAAGGGCCCTTACTGCCCCCTTGTAGGCCCCCATACCCGGCTCCCACTCAGGACCTTCATCTCTAAACAGCTGGCCTCCTGCCACAGATAGCCAGAGAGGCTTTGGCATGATAGCAATCTGTCACTTTAGTGTTCAAGACCCCTCCATAGCCCTCCAGGAGCTTCACTATAGTTCCCAGGGCAAGGTAGTCCTTTGAGACTCAAAATGTGGATCAAGGGCCCGCTGACATCTGTTGGGAATGCAGAATCTCTTGGCCTCACCGCAGTTGGGGCCCCACCCCAGACCCTGCCAGTTAGCAAGACCCCCAGGGGATGCACAGGCACTGGGGGTTTGAGAGGCACCAATGTAAACAACGCAATGCTAAGGGGAAAATGCTACGATTATTCTCATTTTACACACAGGAAAACTGAGCAGAGAGGTTAAAAATAATTTGCTTAGGCAGCACCCGCAATCCAGTGGGTAGGGTGCTGGTCATATACACGGAGGCTAGAGGGTTAGAACTCAGCCAAGGCCAGCTAAGCCACAATGACAACTGCAACAGAAAAATAGCCTGGGGGCCCCTGTAGTCCCAGCTACTTGGGTGACTGAGGCAAGAGAATCGCTTAAGCCCAAGAGTTTGAGGTTGCTGTGAGCTGTGAGGCCACAGCACTCTACTGAGGGCAACATAGTGAAACTCTGTCTCAAAAAAAAAAATTGCGTAAACTCACACAGATGCTAAGCAGTCGTGCAACCCTGATTCTAACACACAGTCTGCAATGAAATCATTACGTTCCACTGTGGGCTGCTGTGGCAGGTGATAAGCGCCCTGTCGTGAGAGGTGGGTGAGCAGGAGGTGGATGCTTATTTGTCAGAGATTCAGCAGTGGGGACTCCTGCTCTAGTAGGGAGGCAGTGATAACAACAGCTGTCAAGTATATTGAGCATCTACTTGGCATTGGTCGGGCATGTCACTTGGGTTCTTTCCATCCCGCCTCAGGGCATATGTGGTGCATCAGACTCTAGCGCTTCACATCTTGAGGTCCAGGGAGGTGAACTTCATGGACCAAGTTCCTCTGGGAGAGGAGCCAGGCACTTGTCCCTTGGGCGTGGCATGTTCTGCATGGACCCTTCTGTTCCTTGCTCCCCTCAGCCCTGCCCAGATACCTCCCCTCCAGCGGGTGCCTAGAGAAGGCGGTGGCTATTTAAACCCCTCAGGTGTGGCTGTGGTTCCCTCTGCCCAACCAGCTGGCACTTCCTTCTCAGCGCCCACCTCCTCCCAAGCCAGGGAAAGCATGTGCATTTGCCATTTGGTGAAACATCTGTCCTCCTGGGAAGCAGCCCCAACTGGGGGGGAGTGGGGAGGCTGGAACAAGGCTGGACTCCTCTCCCTATTTATTTTTTCCAGGGGACCACAGGGGTGGCTTTAGGAGTGACCACCATGGTAGGGAAGGGATAAGAACCCAGGCTGAAGGCTCCAAGGCCCCTCCCTGGGCCTCAGCTTTCTCATGTGCTAAATGGGAATAATAAAGATAGACCCATTGCTGATGGCTTATTCGGCGCTCTTTGCATCTGGTCTTCCCAAAAGTCCATGAAACCCCTACTATGTCGTCATTTGCCAGACAAGGAAATTGAGGCTCAAATTTGTCTCTTCCTCTACCAGATCACACAGATCACCTCTCCCCAAAGTTCGATCACTCTGCCCTTAGCAATCAGCCTTCCCTTTTGTGTACCCACCCCACCTCCAAGGTGGTACATTTTTCTCTCTTTTTTTTTTTTTTTT